ATCTGGCAGCTGCCGTGTGAGAGAAGGAAGGACAGTCTCCTCTCATGTGATTATTGCCTCTGAAAACTCATTAGAGGATCAACTCTGGATCGGATCCAACTCAATGGTACACAGCAACAACAACAGTATTACCCTGACCAGGATAGTAGCTAGTAGCTATATACAAAATCCACATGCAATTAAATGGAATGCAATTAAGAATTCTGTTCATTGGGTGCAGCGGGCCCACTGAAGTGCTCAGTGGCCCTCAGTGACTAAAGGTTACCCTTGGACATTTTGCAAGAGGTTCAACCGAACGATGCTGGTCTAGAGTTTGCTCGCTCTGTGCCTGTTTCACCCTGTGTGGGCCTCACCATTCTCACCTGAGCTGTCAGGACTGCTCTTGAATCATCTCCTCTCTCTTCCTCCCTTCAATCCATGTGCTTCTCTAATCAGTTTTATTCTCTATGAGTTTATAGCTTACATGAAGATTTTTCTAAAACCTTCCTCTCCCTCTGGGACTCATTAAGGTTTTCCCAAGAGAAGCAGGATTTTGACATTTTAGTGCCATTTCCTACTTATAACCCTGCTGAGCCCCCTCTTGCCTTCTTCCTGTTCCTTGCTGCTTCAACAGCTAACAGCCTTCAAAAGAGAATTCCAGCATTTCCTCTTGAGACAGCCAGAAGTGTCTCTTCTCCCACTGTTTGACACCCTCTTTTCATTACCCCTTTTCAGAGCATGGCTCACAAGGAAAAGGTTGGTCTCATACTCAACTCCTGGGGGGCATAAATCTTGTCTTCATATTCTACCATGGTGGATTAGCCTTCCTCCTGTGCCTCTTATTAGGGAGCTCTGGTGGCCTAGTGCCTGGGGCATTGCACTGCTAACCCAAAGGCCATGATTCAAATTAACCAGCAAATCCAGGGAAGCAAGATGGACAATCTCCTCCCATGTGATTTACAGCCTCAGAAACCCCGGGGAAGGTCAACTGTGAGTTTATTCTCACTTGATGGCAGTAAGTGAGTTTCGAGGCTTCTCACTTCAGGCAGGAAACTCTGGCCTTAGGTTAGCCATGATGACTTGCCTCCAGAAAGCGTATGTAATTGAAAGCAACGTACCTCCTTTCCTAAATACATCTTATGAAAGATGCATCAGAGTGAAAATGATGATATTGGCGGCCGTGCCTCTGCCCCTCTCCTCAGCCTTGCTGAGTGGGCAGCATATGGGATCCCGTGCGGTGCTCACCCCCGCTGGCTTGGCTGTGCACGTTGCCACAGCCCTTGTGTAGGGCCTTTCCATCGAGAGCACTCACCTTCCAGCACTGTACCACACATAGTCACCTGTTTCTGTATTTACTGGCTGATTTTCAGAAATAGATCATCAGGTCTTTCTTTCTAGTCTGTCTTAGTCTGGAAGATCTGCTCATACTTACCCACCGTAGATGATTCTGGTGGCATTTGGGATTTTGGTGGCATACCTTCCAGCGACATGCCGGCACTGCCACACGATGACAGAACTAAAGTTGAACCAGCTAATTGTTTAGAACCTTCACTTCAGTGCACTTACTCTTTTAAAGTTATGTCATATCCCCTCTGCCAAATCAGGTGGATTTTTTTCCCCAACCAGTTAGCAATCATCATTAAATAATGAAATGTAGCTCCAAACAAGCATGTTTATCATCCTCTCATTTTCAAAGATGTTCTCTGGGTCCTGAGATTTTGAAGGGAGAATGGATGTTTTGAGTTAGAAATAGTTGTGAGCATGCGTGTAAGTGTACATGCATGTATGTGCACACTCCTTTGAAAATAATTAGAAGAATCATGTCTGTGTCTTTAATAATAGAGACAGCTTTTCTTTTATGTGTCATCTGAATTTTCCACAATGAGCATTTTTTTCCTTTTTTTTTATAAATGTTAATCCAAGTTTACAGAGACTTAGGGGTTCTTATTGTAGCATTTTTCTCCCTGCCCCCCCCGCCCCCCCACCCCAGTTCACTCTTCTTCTTAAAAAGTAAAAGAAACTCTTTCATTGTTATGCAATCCCTCCCCCCAAGTCCACTCCGCTCTGCAGCCTTCATTCTGGACTTCTGTCATGACAATAATACCCAATCATATATCCCTTATAAACAGTTCTGTCCCTCATCTGTTTCAATACAGTATACATCATTCATCTTCTCCTTCTTGGTTTTCCCTCAACCCAGATGTCAGTCTCATTTTACAATAGCAGTCCTGTGCAATATTTGTCCTTTTGTGACTGAGATATTTCACTCACCATAATGTCCTCCAGGGTCACCCATTTTGAGTAATATTGCATGAGTTCCTTGTTTTACAATGCAGCATAATATTCCATTGTGTGAATATACCACAGCTTCTCTATCCATTCATTTTTTGGTGGGCACTTATCATTGTTTCTAACTCTTTGCTATTGTGAACAAAGTCATGATAAACATGGGTGTGCATATATCTGCTTGGGTGGTGGTTATGGTTTCTTTGAGGTATATTCCCAGTAGTGGAATTGCTGGGTCAAATGGTATTTCTCCTTGCAACTTTTTGAGAAAGCACCATACCTTCTTTTATACGCACCATTTTACACTCTTCACCAACAGTGAATAAGGATTCCAGTTTCTCCACAACCTCACTAGCATTTGTTGTTTGCTGCTCTGTTAAACTTTGCTATTCTTACTGGGGTGAGATGATATCTCATAGCTGTTTTGATTGTATCTCTTTTAGAGCTAAGAATTTTGAACATTTCTTCACATGTTTTTTGGCCATCTGAATGTCATCTTTGGTAGAGTGTTTGTTCATATCCTGTGCCCATTTTTCAATTGGTTTATTTATCTTTTTCTTGTTGGGGTGCCCGAGTATTTTATAAATTCTAGGTAGGTAAGACCCTTGTCTGGCATGTCATTACCAAATATTTTTTCCCAGTCAGTGGCTTACCTTTTTGCCCTGTTGGAGTTTGTGATTGGAAGAAGAAAACTTCTTAAGGCATGAGTTGAGTAGATTTTAATGACGGTTTTGTAAGCTTGCCCAAGATCATTTACCTTTCTTTTCCAAAAGCAAGATCAGTGGGCTAATCATGTTTCTAGAAATAGACCCCTCATTGTTGTACACCTTTTTTAGGTTTTGGAGTGAAGTCGTTAGCATTGTAAATTATTCAGCGCCTTCTCAGACTTTCTCAGCAGTGAAAATCGAAATCTGTGGTCTATACCAAGGAGGGTTCCCTTTCAGACAGTTTGTGTCCCTGGTGTCAGGAGGCTGGCTGGAGGGAGAAATGAGTCCTCTCCCTCTGCGCTGTGGCTTACCCAAAGCATTCAAACAGACTGCCTGTTCTTGGATTATCAGGGACCCTTCCAAAATGAGCCCTGTAATCTCTCACCAGCAATGCCATTTGGCTTCGACAAGCTTATGTTTTCCTAGTCTTTAAACTATTTTGAGGTCAGCACTGTGTCTGGCGTCTTATGAAGATGACACACATTTCTGTGCACCCACAGTGACTGGCAGCTACCACAGAGCATGGGGCATTTTTTTAAAAGCTGCTTCACTACCGAAGGCAATTTTCTCTGAGAGAACGTTCCTATTTTGGCTTCTGATATGTTGATGAATTATTGAAATTTCAATTACTTTTGGTTCCCTATTTAGCAGGATGGAGACATCCAAGATACTTATTATGAAAAGCTTTCCAGTGGCTTTCAGAGAGTGGATCCATGTGCCTATTCCCTGCCTAGCTTAGAAGGGATTTGGCACCAGGGCTGGTGCAAGAGTGCGACTCAGTCCTTCCTGTCTTTGAGATTAAGTGCTACCTGCCCTTGTGACTCCTTTAGGTGAATCTGTTCAAGGTGTGGTCCCTGTTTCAGCATCAGCACCTAGGAGCTTCTGAGCTGTGACCTTCTCAGACCTCATCCTGGACCTGCTCAATCAGAATCTCTGAAGAGAAGAACTAGGAATCTGTTTGAACAAGTCCTCCAGAGGCTTTTGGAAAGCATAGATGTTTGGTGCCCATTTTCAAAAGTCCTTTGATCTAGTTGGTTTGTCTACCATTAAGGTAGACATTCTGCCATCCTGATAAAACTGTGATCGAGGTAATCAGAAGTAGCCAGGGTCTTTCACCTGTCGTCACTTATTTTAACATGTCTCCATCTGCAGGTCCCTGAAGTGTTAGCCCAGAGAAGCAGAATTTGAGCATTTGAACTCCATACTAGTACATGTGTGATTTAAAAGTATTTCTGAGGGCCTTTGTGTTTCTTCTTTAAACAGAGAGCTTTGTAGATAATCATTCCTGCTCTTTCAGGGGCAGTCCCATCCGTTAGCACTTGGGTAACACTGTCTGTGCCATCACTGACCCCTCATCCCAGTCCAGGACCCCACCCCGTGCAGGTGTCTCTTTGAGGCAGTGTGTGTTGTATCACTGGCAGCTCTTCAAGTACAGTGAGTCACGGTGAGGCCCCTGTCCTTGTTTAAGCAGTGTCCTCCCCCATCATCCATCCCACCAACAGAGCTGCTCCTCTCCTGTCTGTCGTGACTCTGTACACCTTGAAGTCTCTTCTCCTATATTGCTACTCCCTTGGTAAGCCTTCTCTATATGACCTTTGGTGAGGTGACATTCTTCCCGTCCCCTGCTTCCGATAATACTTTCAGTAGTTATTTATAGCACTCATGCACCTGAGTGGAAATGATTTCTCTTTTTTTCCTCCTCTGTGCTCTAAGTCCCATGAGAGTGGACATTCCATCTGGGACCTCCTTTCTGCAAACACATAAGGCTGAATAAATTAGCATTCCTCAGAGGTGCTCTGCTAGAAGCTCCCCATGGCTTAGATAGCAGCTTCACCTCATTCTTATGAAGAACGGCTGATGATCATTGTTAGGTCTCACTGGGAATGCAGACACTTTTCCATAGACTCAATCTGTTCAGCTTTTTCAGTAATGTTGAGTCTTTCACATAAATAAAAGCGTACCATTTACCAATCCAATTCTTTTGCCAAAAAGCCACCAAGTGTGTGTCTAAAGTCATTGTATTTTCAGGTTCGAGAGCTTCAGACTCGACTACAGAGCGTGCAGGCCACAGGTCCCGCCAGTCCTGGCCGCCTGACTTCTGCCAACCGCCCAATTAACCCCAGCACCGGGGAGCTGAGCACGAGCAGCAGCAGCAATGACATTCCCATCGCCAAGGTGAGCGCCTCTGGACGAGCGGGAACTCTTCCTGTTATCTGGAAGCACCAGCCTCCACCAAACACCGGGACTGTTCAGGCATGCGATTAGTTCAGCCGGGCCCCCGCAGCCTTCCCGAGGGTCTAGCGCAGGGCTCCTATACCAGAGCTGCAGGGAGAGATAACCTACTAATAGTTTTAAGCCTCTCTTGGCTGCAACCTGGACGCCAGCTCTCATTAATCAGCCAGCTGGAGAATGTCACAGCTGACAAGTCATTGTGGGGAGTGAGACGTTTTGTCAAGCTCTACAATACTTCAGGGTGGATGGAGAGCCGCTCTCAAGAACTAAGGTTCAGTTCAGTGGGGGACCCTGAGTAATGATCCCGTGATCTCCCTACTCAAGAGATGGACAGCCCTGTCAGCAGAAAAATAGATTGTGAAGGACAGGCAATGATGGCTATAAGGAATAGCACCACCCATACTCTGTCAGAGGAACTGGGGTGGGCCTAGTGGTAAAAAGCTGCACTGCAATCCCAAAGGCACATGGTTCAAAACCAGCAGTTGTTCTGCAGGAGAATGATGTGTGTGATTAAATCTTGTGTCATTAAACTGCCTCTGAAAACCTACTGGAGGGTCAGCTATGGGTAGGGTCCAACTCAATGTAATACAACAACATGCTCTACCATAACCTCTAAGCTCATAGGTTGACTCTACTAGATACAGACTATTAAGGTTGTCTGTGTCCTCTTGGCAGATAGCTTTGTCTCTAACAGTATGGTTGGTTCTCAACTACTAAGTTTAGTACATTAGATTAAACCGGTGGTTCCGAGCCAGAGGCTACCCAACTCCCACCCCCGCCATAGACATTAGGTAAGGTCTGGAAACTTTCATTGCTCACAAGTGGGGAAGGATTCCCACTACTATCTGGTGGGAAGAGACCATGGATGCTGCCAAACATCCTACAATGTACAGGGCAGCCTCCCCAACAAATAATTACCTGATTTAAAATGTCAATGATACTGAGGCTGGGAAACTTTCATTTAAGCTTATGGTAGGAAAAGTAGACAGGTGAGTTCTTAAGAAATCGATTCCTCAGTTGAGTTGGCATGGTTAAGCAGGAGGTGTGTGTAAGCATCGCCTGAACACGTTTATCAGGGGAATGCAGTGTAGGTTTTATTCATGATTTGTGTCTGTGTGTGTCTGTGTATATGTTTTGATTTTTTAAGATTGCTGAGAGAGTGAAGCTATCAAAGACAAGATCTGAATCTTCCTCCTCTGATCGGCCAGTCCTGGGCTCGGAAATCAGCAGCATAGGGGTGAGTGTTCCCGAGAGGCATGAAGTCAAGGAAGCTCCCAAGAAAGCTGTGCAGACAATGGCTTATGGATGATGGCAGGACCTCCAAAGTTCACCTCCGATAAACCAGTTAATTATAATAATAAATCACACTTGACTTCCTTCCAGAAGAGCAGATTAAAATGTATAGTTGCTTCCCCATGGTAGATTACTTCTTCTGCTTTTAAAGGAGACTTTCCTCCTCTGCTGGAAACTATTTCAGTCTTGTTACTTGTGATGTAAATGAAAACATTGCAGTTTCTGTTTTAAATCACCCTAGGACCCCAGAGAACAAGGCATGAAGCTCTAAAAGAACTTTACCTTTTGCACTGCCCTCTTGAAAGCAGTGGGGGGGGGGGGTTTCTCTCTAGCAAAAAGGGATGTTGCCTGTGAAGTGTAGCTCTTTGTTATGAAAGACTGAACCTTCTAGCTTATGCCAGAATGCTTAAAGCATGAGCCCTGGCAGCTTTAAGAGCTGATGGATGGTGGATAAGAAACAGTGCTGGTACTCTTAGGGATACTTTTCAGGACAGGAGATGAGGCTGGGAGAACCAGCTACTTGATCCTCAGAGCTGGAGAGTCTAAACTTTTAAGGCCCTAATTTAAAATTTTGCACTGATCAGAAATTACATACATTAGCCAGAAGCCAAATGGTAAAAATAAAAGAGTCAGTCATGCTCCTTGGCTGTGGTCACCAGAGATAATGGCCTGAGGGAGGGGAAGGCAGAGGAGAGGGCAGACTTGTAAAATTTCATTTAGCTGCTTGCAGCTAACAGTTTGGTTCCCAACTCCTGATGGCATTGTGCACAAAGGACTCGAACTTTGTGCCCCAAAGCATTTGCTTAGCCGAAGTCACTTGCTAGCCTTTCTTCCTAATCCATCACAGTTTGGAAGCTCTGCTGAAATCTGTTCAGCATCATGGCAACATGCAAGTTTCTATTGACAGATAGGTGCTGGCTGGAAATGCAGTGAATCAGTCAGGATTTGAACCCAGATCTTCTGCATGGAATTTTACCATGGAAACAATAAGCCCAAGTAAACTGTTATTGTTATGTGCCATCTAGTTGCCTGCAACTGACTCATAGTGACCTTATGTAAACTATTGTTCATTAGTTCCCTAATTCAGGAAGTCTTCCCTTCTCCTAGGTGATTTTAGTTTCTCTTCCTTCCTCTGTTTACCTGGCAAAAATTCTTCCATTGAACCACTGTTAGCCTATCCAACGTTTTAGAGACTCTGAAGATCCCTTCTGTCCTGGCTTTTCCTAGCAGGATGTGCTTGGACAATGCAGCAATATTTTGATCTGGTTTGCAATACAGCATTCACAGTACTTTGCTTTCCACACTAGAATTAAATTATACAGAGAGAGATGAGGATAAAACATCTCCCCATGCCAAATTCTCAAGGAGTAACAGCTTTACATTGCTTTGCATGTGAGGCCTGCTTGGGACCCCACAACCCTGCAGCAGCGTACCTTGGGACAAGGTGCTTACTGCCACCCCTTACAGGTGTCCAGCAGTGTGGCCGAGCACCTGGCCCACTCCCTTCAGGACTGCTCCAACATCCAAGAGATCTTCCAGACACTCTACTCACATGGATCTGCCATCTCAGAAAGCAAAATCAGAGAGTTTGAGGTGGAAACGGAGCGGTTGAATAGGTAAGGAGAAAATGGACATCTTTGGGTGAATGGGTAGAAGTGAGGGGCTTGATGTGACTTCTTTCCTTTCACTGTCTTTTATCATTTTCATAGCGGAATTGAGAGAGCATTAGATTTGAAATCAAGTCCCAGATCCCATCCATTTTAGCTTTGAAATCTAAGTCTAAAACTGGATCGGTCATTGGTGCCCTACCTAATGCAAACGTTCCTATGAGGATGAAATAATTTTCCAAAAAGTCATTCCTATATGGATCTTAGCTGAAAGCAGAGAATACCAGAAGAATGTCTATCTGTGTTTCATTGATTATACAAAGGCATTTGACTGTACTGTGTGGATCATAACAAACTGTGGCTGACTCTGAGAAGAATGGGAATCCCAGAACATTTAATCGTGCTAATGTGAAACCTATTCTTGGACCATAAGGCAGTCGTCAGAACAGAGCAGGGCAACACTGCATGGTTCAAAATTGAGAAGGGTGTACTCCAGGGATGTGTCCTATCTCCATACCTTTCAACCTGTATGCAGAGCAGCTTATCCGAGAGGCTGAGCTCTATGAGGAGAAGTGTGGCATTAGGATTGGTGGAAGATCTATCAACAATCTGCGTTATGCAGATGACACAACCGTGCTCGCTGAAACTGAGGAGGACCTCATGCACTTACTGCAGAGGGTCAAGGACTGCAGCCTTCAGTATGGACTGAAGCTCAATGTCAAGAAGACAAAGATTCTCACCACTGGACCAATCGGTAGCATCAGGATAGATGGTGAAGAGATTGAGATTGTTCACAGCTTCAGTTTACTCGGCTCCACAGTCAACACTCTTGGTACCAGCAGTCAGGAAATCAAAAAGCGTATCGCGATGGGAAAATCTTCTGTTAGGGACCTCTCTAGAGTACTCAGGAGCAACAGTGTCTCTTTGGAGACTAAGGTGCGCCTGATACAGGCCATGGTATTTGCAATTGCTTGTTATGCATCAGAGAGTTGGACAATGACTAGAGAGGACAGAAGGAGAGTGGATGCTTTTGAGCTGTGGTGCTGGAGAAGGGTACTGAATGTACCATGGACTGCCAGGAAAACAAACAGATTTATCTTGGAGAGGATAAAACCAAGCTACTCCTTGGAGGCAAGGATTCTGGGGCTTCGTCTGACATACTTTGGACATGTTGCCAGGAGGGACGGGTCCTTGGAGAGGGACATCATGCTTGGGAGGGTTGAGGTACAACGCAGGAGGGGAAGACCCCCTATGAGATGGATTGATTCGGTGACTGGGGTAATCGGGATGGGTGTGCCAGAGGCGGTGCGGTTGGCACAGGATAGAGCAGGGTTTAGGGCTGTTGTGCATTGGGTCGCTATGAGTCGGAAACGACTCGACGGCACATAACAACAACAACAACAACACACAAGGGTAGTAACCAAAACAGCATGGTACTGGTACAACGACAGGTACATAAACTAATGCAACAGAATTGAGAACCCAGAAATGGGCCCCATTATCTATGGTCAACTGGTATTTGATGAGGAAATAAAACCTATCAAATAGGGAAATGATAAGCTCTTCAACAAATGGTACTGGCAAAACTAGACTGCTACCTGCAAAAAAACTAAAACAGGATCCATATCTCACAACATATACAAAAATCAACTCAAGGTGGAACAGAGACCTGGGAGTAAAGCCCAAAGCCATAGAGTTCATCAGAGGCAAACTGGGATCAAGCTTAGATGTCCTAGTATATGGTATAAAGTGACTGTCAAATACAGCCATAAATGCAAAATCTGGAAAGGCTAAAATTGATGAATGGGACCTTCTAAATATTAAATCTCTGTGCACATCAAAAACTTTTTCCAGCAGGGTGAAAAGAAAACTGACAGGGAGAAAAACATTTGGCAATGCTCTTTCAGACAAGGGTCTCATAATACACGTTTATAAAATCTTACAGGGCCTCCACAAGAAAAAACTGATAGCCCAATTAAAGAATGGGCACAAGACATGGAAAGAATTTTCACTGAGGAAGATATTCAGATGACCAACAAATACATGAAGAAGTGCTACAAATCACTGGCAATAAGTGAGATGCAAATAAAAACCACAATGAGTTACCATCTCACTACAGTAGCAGTGGCAAAGTTTAACAGGGCAGCAAGTAATAAATATTGGAGAGGATGTGGAGAGATAGGAACTCTTATACACTGTTGGTGGGATTGTAAAATGGTACACTCTGGAAGGCAGTTGGGCATTTCCTCAGAAAGCTGACCATAAAAATTCCATATGACCCACCTGTTCCACTGCTTGGAATATATGCCAAGAAAATGAGAAGTAAGGCAAAAATGGAGACTTGTGTACCAGTGTTCATATCAGTGTTATTCACCATTACAAGAACATGGAAACAGCCCAGATGTCCAACCACAGTCGAATGGATTGAGAAATTATGGTACATTCACACGATGGAATACCACGCAGCACGTAGGTGCAATGATTTTGTAAATCACTGCCTAACTTGGGAGGGACTGGAGAGCATTATGCTGAGTGAACTAACTCAGTCCCATAAGGACAAATACTATGTAAGACCATTACTGCAAAAGTAGATAACTACTAAAACGTGTATGAAGATCTCAAGGAAGGTTGGGTCAGAGGGGTGAGGATGAGTGGAGGGCATAATCATAGGGTTACTCAATTTGAAAGGTTGAGGGAGATGTGGTTTAAGGAAATGGAAAGATCTGGTATGATAAAAAATCAATACAAACTTTGTAAGAAAACCAGTGTAAAATAAAAATTTATGTTAAAAAAACGGATTAAATATATTAAAAAAAAAAAAAACCAAAAAAGAACTGGGAAGGAAGATGGGAGAGAGAGGGAAGAAAATGTTAACAATGAATGAAAATTCAGTTTTTCTGAAACTTTCATCAATCATCATGAAAATTTTTTAAAAAAATTATAAACAAAAGTCTTTTCCAAGATGTGATGCATTTAGCAATGACTATGTGTCTTCAAATCTCTTATTGTATTGTGGTAGTCGAGGTGCTGTTGTCATTGACCAAGCATCTACTAGAGCCTGGCACCGGGCTCAGGGGTGGGACCCAGCAGTGGATTGTTCTGTGCCATCAGAACTCAGCCTGGCCGTGACTGTGTTTCTTGTGCATTTAATATATAGAAGAAATCAGAGCAAAACTTAGTAAATAGTCCTGCCCACTTTAGTTTCCTGTCCTCTCCATTTATCAAAGTCTATCCCTGTTAGAATGATGCAGAGTATCTCAGTGTTTTCATTGCCCTTTCCCTTCCCTTTCCAAATATGCACTTGTGCGTGTGTGCGTTGTGACATGAGATGATGAGGTCCTGCTGGTGAGGTTGGGAATTTCCAGTCATCTCCATGATCACTGAGTGCAAGCTGCAGTCAGGTCTGACTCCATACGTGGGTGACACATGCAGTCACACAGGGCCTTGTTCCTAGAAGAACCCCACACTGGTTTCACTGCTCTTTTACATTCTTAATTTTTAATGACTAAAGGGCCCCTGCCTCTTCATTTTGCATTGGGCTTCATGTAGTATGTAGCCAATCCTGGAGTAGGCCATAGGTAAGTAGGTCCAAGATGGCCTCTGCTGCAGAGACACACAAAAGTTCTGCGGTGTTTGACAAGAGTCCAGAATAAGAGCTGCATAATAAAGCGGGGGTGGGGGGGAGGCTATATAACAATGAAAGAACTTTTATTTTCAAAGAAGAAGGCAAACTGGAAGAGAAGGGGGGACAGGGAGGAAAATGTGCAGCAATGAATGAATGCAAATCCAAGGTCTTTATAAACTTTCATTAAAATTTAAAAAAAAAAAGTTCTTCAGTACAGAGTCAGCGTCCCAAGGGTATCTTAATCCTCCCAGAACCAGCAAAGACTATTTGGCGTCTATGTTCTTGAGATTGACCAGGCACGCATTTACAGCAGGCTCTCTTTGCTCTTCCTGATTGCTGCCTATGTCTATTTGTATACTCTGAAAAATATACACAATTCTGAGTCCTTAAACCCAACTCTAATGGTTCTTTATGGAATAATTTTACCATGTTCCCAGCTTTCCCTTATATTCCAAGTCTTATGATAGAAGTCATTTAAGTTTGTCCTCCTCCTCCTTACTGAAGACTGGTATGTTTCATCCCAGCACTGAGGGAGTTACTGAAAAAGCAAAGGGGAAGGACTAGAGGCAAGCCAGGGTAAACACTGTAACTCACATTTGGTCCCCGGGTAGCAGAAGGAACTCTTAGATTGCACCAGAGCATGGTATGGCTGCCTTGACCTACAAACCTTCAGTGGAAAAACATAGTAAGAATTTAAAAGTCTCATGAACTAAGCAGAAAGTAATGTGGATGGTGTTCCCTGTGCAGCTCTGCCTTTTCCACTTGTGTGTGGCAACCCTGAATAAATTTAATTCCACGTTAGTCTTCCCTGATTTGAAAGTTTAATATCGTTCTTGAGACGTAAGGAAATGTGGCAATGTAGGTCATTTTAAATTGTGAAATTAAATGGATTTCCTGTTAAATTCAAAATGCTTAAGAGTTACAGTCCTGGTGATTACTGTGTAAAGCAGAAGCCTTCTAAGTCTCACAGGCCAGGGAGTGCTTAAAATTTGAATCCGATCTTCCCTTTGCAGTTTAATAAAGACAGATGCCTTCAGGGGACCTTCCATTTAGTAAGGCTCTCTTCTCTACTGATTCTAAGATTTAACAAGCCTGCTTTGTGGCTCGACTTAAGAAGGTTCTTTTCTGCTCAATTATGTGCACTCAGGAAAGGCCACAGAAAGGGGCAATATTTGCTGCTTTTAGTTCACGTTATTAGGATGTTTACAAAGGTCCTTCCCCGAAGTGCCACATACTCCTCGGTTTGTAAGAATAAAACCCTTGCTTGTGCAAATGAGCAAACAAGGACTTACAAGTTCAGTGATTTGCCTTGGGTCCAGAGCTATTAATAGCCCGAATCAGAATTCCAGTCCGGCCCTTTGATCTGATGTAACATTGTTTTCTCTGTGATCTTACATAGGACTAGAACCCATGGATTCCTAAAGATAATTTACCAATATGTCCTTTTATTAAACCATTTATTTCAAAGTTAGAGGCCTATTACGCAAAATTATAATAATAAAGAGAAAGAATCTTTAACTTTGTGAAATATGTGTGAGTGTAGTGTAAGGGGAGAAGCTTGCTCAAATGTGTTTTCTGTCATTCTGTATTAAATGTATGTGTGTATACACACACACACACAAACATCTCTTTGGTGTGCAAAGAAAAATAATATAAGCAAAGTCCCTGATCTTGTCAAGTTTTTATGCTATGAGGAGAGAGAGATAAAAAAGCAAACAAGGTTATTTAAAATGCCCCAGGAAAGAAAGAAATAGGACCTGTGTGACCAAGAAATGACCGAGGGGCATGAGGAAATGTCTATTTTAGAGAGGTAGTAAAAGACAATTTGTCTGAAAAGATGGTATTTAAGGTGATATTTTTAAGGACAAGCAGGAGTCTCAGAAGCCATTTCACAAACCTCAAGACTGGGAAGAGGGCAACGTGAAGTAGCAACTCTCCAGAGGCCACTGTGACTTCAGTGGAGTGGATAGAAGGAATAGGTCACGGGTAGGGCTGGCAGAATGGACACGGACTGGGTTGCATTTGGATTTACAGGCGATACTCAAAGCTTACTCTAGTCTAAACATAACTGGAAACCATTTCCAGCTTTAAGTAAGGGGCGGGGTGGGGGGGGACGCCAATCTGATTTATGTTTTGCAAGATCACTTAGATGTGATGAGTGGAAAGAGAATGGCAAGTGTGGAAGCAGAGAAGTTACTGAGAAGAATATTGAGCAAGGGCTTAATAAACACTAGCTATTCTGATGATGGTATTTTTCATTTGCTCCTACCAAGGGTGGCTTATGGCTCTATATCTGATGTTACTCTTATGAGGGCCTCAAGGTCAGCAGTGTCTCTACTGGTTTTATTACCACAGCAAAGGGCAGTACCTGGCACGTGGTAAACACAGAAAGGGGGTGCTTTTTAAAAAAAAAACAAACCTCTTAATTTATAGATCTCATGATTGTTTTCTTTAATGTCACCTCTTTGTTTTGTGTCTGTTGCATTTGCTGAAGTACCTGATAAGCCTCCTCCTAATATGCACTCCAAACCCATCAGCTGGTTGCCATGGAGTCAAGTTTGACTTAGAGCAACCTTAAAGGATAGAATAAAACTGTCCTATACGGTTTCCAAGGCTGGAAGCAGAAGCAGACTGCCACAGGACTCCTTCTGTGGAGCAGCTAGTGTGTTCAAAATGGCACTCAGTTCATACCTTAGCACTTAATTAGTACACAACCAGATGCTTTGACTATAGGTCGTGTTGTTATTAGTTGCTGTCAGGTAGACTATGACTCATAGCCACCCATATGAACAAGGGATCTGACCCTTGTCCTAACCTGTGCCATCCTCATCATCTCTGATATACTCCAGCCCATTGTTGAAGATCTTCTTTCACTGACCCTCTATCTTTCCAAGCATGTTTTTCAAGAGGGTCAAGGACTGCAGCCTACAGTATGGACTGAGGCTCAATGTCAAGAAGACAAAGATTCTCACCACTGGACCAGTTGGCAGCATCAGGATGGATAGTGAAGAGATTGAGATTGTCCACGGCTTCAGTTTGCTTGGCTCCACAGTCAACACTCTTGGCACCAGCAGCCAGGAAATAAAAAAACGTATTGCGATGGGAAAGTCTGCGGTTAGGTACCTCTGTAAAGTACTCAAGAGCAACGGTGTCTCTCTGGAGACTAAGGTGCGCCTGATACAGGCCATGGTTTTTGCAATCACTTGTTATGCATCAGACAGAGAGTAGGACA